AACAAACTCAGAACTATTATTTCATTCTCATAATCTTTTCTCCTTCAACCCACAAAAATCCAACCTTTATTCCTCACACCATCTCTCCTACTCAGAACATTACGCCATGACACGTCCAAAGGCCATTATACCTGTTGCTTCTATCTCCAAGAAGAGGACCCGAACAGGGAAAAATCTCAAGCCTGAGCAAACCACAGTCGACTGCACAGTCATACCAGAACGGGGCATAGTCCTCAGTAGCTCCAAACACGGAGATCTCGACCGGTGGCTGACCGAGGATATAGCAGAACTGGATTGCGAACTCTTCGTTGAGCCTTCCTCAAGAGCTTGCACCGAGTTCGTGACTGCATTCTTGGAGGGGATGAAGAAAGAAGACCTCCCAAAACTCCTCATCAGAGGTGTAAAAGTAGACTTCTCCCCTGAAGAAATCAACGAAGCATATAACACTGCTTCAGTTCCTGCTGAACAAGATGAGTTTGATAGATACTGTGCTGGCCGAGGAGATGAGGCCATAACTGGAGAAGTGCTCCGAGAAATAGGCTCAGAAGGAGCAACCTGGGGAACCAAGGTATCCATCCCTAAGAAGCAACTCAAATTCGAAGCAAAGGTATGGATGCATTTTATTAACTCCCGTCTGATTCCTGTGAGCAATGACTCTAGAGTAAACTGGGAAAGAGCAGTGCTGGTCTTCTGCATCTTGACTAAGAAGAAGTTTGATGTTGGGAGGATTATCTACAAACAACTGGTGGCAAATGCACCAAGAAACTCCCCATTTTTTTCCCTTGTCTGGTCACTGAAATGTGCAAGAGGTCTGGTCTAAAGGCCAATATCCCGATTTCGGATGAAATCATTCCATAAGGGTCGGACATTGATCAGTCCATGATAAAAAGAATCAGAGATAATGAAGGATTGGAAAGTGAGGAGGAAGAAGAAAAAGAAGAGAAAGAAGAAAAATAAGGAAAGGAGGAAGAAGAAGAAGCTGAAGTTTCGGGCAATGCGAAGGAAGAACCTCAGAAAACTCCAAGAAGGGAAAAACTTCCCTTTAAGAGAGCTCCTGCAAAGAGTGGACGAAGGCAGTTCCTAGTCGAGACAACTGACATGACTCAATGTCAAACTATGTTCGGTCTCGGAGCAGACCTTCTAGCCACTCAAGTGCAAGCCTTAGAAGGCACAGTTGGAAGGGAGCTGCAATCTCTGAAAGAAGCTAGCTTGCTCATTAACAAAGAAAAGGTGGCCCTGCAGAATGAACTTGACCAGATAAAAAATGCTGGACTATTGCCTTTGAAAAGGAAGATCAAGGAAGGAGAAGGATCCTCAACCTTGCAAAACACGGTGAAAGACCTGGTGAAAGCAGTGGAGATGATGAACAAGAAAATGGAAGAGAGGGAGCAAGCCCACGAAAAAAACAGAAAAGACTGGAAGGAGGAGATCGGGCTCTTGAAAGATGAATTGATGAAAAGCAAAGAGGAGGAAATTCAACTCCGATTGTACTACAGAGCTCGGGATCAAATCTTCGCCAGTAACTGGGGAGAAAAATTCAAGGGACAAACTCCATATCCACCGTTTCCAAATGTCTTCCTTCTAGAAGCAATAACAAATGCTCCGTTTAGCGGAGCAAGACAAGAAACTGGAGAGCATTAAGGGTCACTATGGTGACCCCAGGTTCATTCGTTCCCTATCCTTTTTAACTTGTTTAAATCTGTTGGAATGAATGCATGAAAAGTTCTGTGGTGGAATGTTACTGACTTTGCTCTTAGATAAATGACTTCTGCGGTGTACCAGGGATTCGCCACCCTGTTTTATTTTTTTCATTGTTTTTAACTCTTGCTAAGTTTACCGTCCTAAGTGTCCTGATCTACTCAATGATTCTTTTTGCCCAGGATTTTTCTCCTTGAGATGCCCTAAAGAGTTTACAGTTTCTAACAAAGCAACATAGAGCATCACTCTGATTTGGAGCAACACCATGCACAAAAAGCAGCACTCCAAAAATCGGACACTCTGTTATTCAGTGGACTTATTGAGTTACCAAGGAAAGAACTTCAGACTGTTCAAATAAATTACTCTGCCCCTAATTTAAAAAAAAAAGAAAAAAAAGAAGAAGGGTCAGCTTCTCTGCTCCAAAAAAATTTCGCTCAAAGTGCTCAAGTCATCAAGGTAAGAGCAAGAGCCGCTCAAAGAGCATGCTGTTGAAGGTCAGCCCTATGCAAAGACGAGGGTAATTGACTTCCAGAAAGACCTAAAAAGAAAGAAATAGAGAAGGGAGCTAGAAAGTAAGAGAAGAAATCAAGCCGAAAAGTTCAATCCGGAAGCAACTCTGTGGGAAACTGACTAAAAGAGTGGAAGATGTCACACACACAATGAAGCTGGTGAAACTCACAAGTCAGATGAGTGCTCTAATGAAGCAAGAGAAGGAGTTAAGTTAACTCTTCATCGATAATCTCAAGGAGCATTAACCTGTCACAAGAAGACTGTTGGTTGTGAAGGATTACTCGGGACGAGTAATATCTAGTTTTGGGGTGATGATGGTCCTCAAAAGTTGAGGCCCATTAAGTGTAAATTTTTCCACAAAACCCATGTTTGGTTATAGATCACTCCCCTCAACCTTCTTCTTTCCAAATAGAGCAACTATTTTGAATAGTGGACCAGAGCAATACCGAAAATGGGAATTAAGGTAGATCTGGAGCAAATTTAACATTATCTTTTTCACATATGACTATTGGGTTAGTTTGCTTTGTTCAGGACACCTAAGGCCATCAGAAGGAACCACAAAATGAAGAGAGAGGAATGAGGGTTGCGCAGAAAGGAAAAACCTGCTGTAGTACAACAGCAGTCAAAGAAGGCAATGGGAAGCTGCCACGTCAGCCACAACAGAGAAGGTGGAGGTGCTACCTCTGCTACAGTACGGAAGCAAGGGAGCTGAGCAATCAAAAGCAGCCACGTCAGCTGCAGCAGAAGGAGTGGAGGTGCCTCCCTGAATCCGATACTCCTATTCACAAAGGGAGCCAAAAGCAAGGGGGACCACTTCCATTTAAGGCCAAGCTGGCAAGAAGCAAGGCTACGATTGGAGATGATTTAGACAAAGCATGACCCTTGATGAAAGGAACAATGGAGATCGAATGAAGAACCCTATAAAAGGAACAAGCAATCCTCACAAAGGGGATCATCAGCGCCCATCCTAAGACTCGTTATCTCTTTGTTTTCTTTTTGTAAAAATGCTCACTAGGAGCTAATTTCCTCTAAGTAGGTGAGGGTTCCATAGAAGTAATCCCTTTTGTCTTAGGATAACTTTGTAAGGAACACATATTTTATAAATGAATTTTGAGTTGCTCTTTGGTTTAATTTATTGATTTTGTGAAACCCTTTGGGCTGGCAACCTCATCCCGGGTCCACTCGGTTGATGAAACACTGACAAAGGCGTGTGGAGCATTCTAAAAATCCTGGGGTAGTTTAGCCTGAAGAAAGGAGGGAGAAACACCTGGAATGGGGAGCACTGCCATGTGAATCCATGCTCTTTTGAGAAGGCAACATGGTTTCCTTGCATATAACTCCAAGTACTATGGAGTAACGTGGAGAGTAGGGCCCTGCCCTCTGCTTACCTGTAGCAAAACAAGGGAAGGAGCAAAATCCACTTGTAAAATATGCTACCAAGCAGGGTTAACCAAAAGGATGAAAACATGGAACCCGTGACACCTACTTGACTTTTTCTAAAATTAATCTTAATTCAAACTTCTATCACAACCTTTCCCTCACGATAACTAAACTGTGTTTTACCAGCTGATGCTCTTACTTTCATTTCATTGACTGCTCTTGACGTTACTTAAATTGATGTTTTTTTTATTCGATGACCGTGCTAAGTCATTCACTGCGCTCATCTGGTTCAGAATGGTTAACATTGTTTAACTAGCTGCCCAGAGATTGCTCTATGTGAAGCTTAGCTGAGAATAGTACTTTCTTTTATTGCTCCATTTTACAAATTAAGTTTCCTTTAGCGTTTCTTACTTCACAACTGCTCCCTGAGGACGATAAATCTGGGGCTACAATACCCTATATTGCTTGACACGTACGCTTGCGTATAGTTGAAGAGGGTTGCTCTTAGTCAGAGTAGATTGTTCCTGTTGGCAATCCTGATTATTACTCTGCACTCTTGCTCTCAGAAAAGATATTCCCGAGCAGCTCTCGGTTCGACCAAGCAATGGTTTTAGAGGTTTAAAGGATCTTTCATGTAGCCCTAAGGATTCAAACTGTTTATCCCTAAAAAACCTTGTTGGTTTAGGTTCTAAAGCTAAGACAAGCTCACTTTCCTTTAGATTTTCAGCAATCTGTTCAATACTGCCAAATTCTGAATTGTTAAATTCATTATTCACAAGAGAATAGTCAGCAACAATATGATCTAAAACAGATATGGCAGAATAGTCATCAACATCTTCATCAATAAAAATCATTGCTTTTAACACATTAAATGTGATCTTTTCCTCATTGACCCTCATAGTTAATTCTCCCTTTTTAACATCAATTATGGCACCCCCTGTGGCTAAAAATGGCCTACCCACTATGATAGGCACATTCTCATCAACTTCACAATCTAAGATTATAAAATCAGCTGGAAAAATAAATCTGTCAACTTTAACTAAGATGTTCTCTATTTTTCCATCAGGGAATGCAAGAGTTCTATCAGCTAATTGGAGAGTAACTGTGTTGGAGAGGCTTTCACTCCAAGTGTTTTAAAGATAGAAGTTGGCATTAAGTTTATGCTAGAGCCTAAGTCACATAAGGCTCTACCAATGTATCTATCTCTTATTGTACATGGAATTGTAAAAGAACCTGGATCTTCCAATTTCGGAGCAATTTGTTGGAGACATAGCTGCTGCATTCCTTTGTTAATGCTACTGTTTCATACTCTTTAAGCCTCCTTTTCTTTGTGAGAATATCCTTCATGAAATTCACATAGCTCGTCATGTTTTGAAGTGCTTCCACAAAGGGTATATTAATTTGCAATTGCTTCAGAATGTCCAGGAATCGCTTAAAGTTCTGCTCTTGATGCTGTTTTTGGAGTCCTTTAGGAAAAGGAACTTGTTTTGCCTTAGAGGGTGGTTGAGAGGCTTCTTTATTCTGCACGAGCTTATCTGTTCCTTTGATCTTTGCTCTGCCCTTTCTAGTTCAGAAGCATTTTCTTCCCCATTATCATTTTCTTGAGGTATAGTTGCTATAGCAGTGTTGTCCACTTGCTTCTCTTCTTTCTCCATCAACTTCCTCAAGGTAGAAGGCCTTACAACAGGTTCTGGTTGATCCATTTCTCTGCCATTTCTCAGTTGGAGAGCTTTATATGTTTCTTTTCCATCTCTCCTTGGTAATTCTGTATCACTAGGGAGTGCTCCCAATGGTCTGCCACTGAGTGTTGCAGCAAGCTGACCTATTTGTGTCTCAATGCTTTTTAACATAGCACTATGACTTTGGAGTAGAGCTGCCTGATTTTGCACAGCATGATCATTCTTTGCAACATAGTCCTTCATCCACTGCTCAAGAGGTGGGTGAGCTTCTGCATTCCCTTGTTTATTCTGGTCTGCAGGAAAAGATTGGTTGAATCCAGGAGGAAATGTCATCTTTGATGGCTGAAATTGTTGTTGTCCTCCTTGGAAGCTCTGACTAGGTGCTTTATTTCCAGCATTGTAGTGGTATCCATGGCCTTGATTCTGGCCAAATTGGCCACCTTGATTTTGCCATCTGGGTTGGTTGTATTGGTTGCGGTTGTTGTAGCCACGATTGAATTCTCCCACATAAAGAACTGATGTGGGGTTGTTGGGGCATTCCTCAAATGCATGTGGCCCATAGCATAGGGAGCAGATAACTGCTGTAGCAGCTACTTGAGCAGGTGCTGGCTGCTTAGAGTCTACCACCACCTTGGTAAGATTCTTCACTGTGTTGTTTAGGGCAGCAAGTTCAGCTGCCATGAAGGTGGTTGTTGTCACTTCATGAAGGCCAGCAGCCCTTTTTGGCTGATCAACTCTATCAAGCGGCCATTGACAACTGTTTACACTGATTACCTCAAGAATATTGTAAGCATCAGTGTACTTTTTGAGCAGAAAAGCACCTCCAGCTGTGGAATCTAAATTGGATCTCCCTTGCAAACTCATACCTCTATAGAAAATTTGAATAATTGCCCAGTTAGGCAGTCTATGAGTTGGACACTTCCACAGCATCCTTTTGTATCTAGTCCAGGCTTCATGGAGAGACTCTTCAGCACACTGCCTGAAGCCAGTGATGTTGTCACGTAAATCACAAACCATCGTGGGAGGGAAGAACTTCATAAGAAAAGACTCTCCCAACTCTTTCCACGTAGTTATAGAATTAGATGGCATATTCTCTATCCAATCCTCTGCTGCTCCTCCCAGAGAGTAAGGAAAGAGTTTCATTCTCATGGCCTCATTGGAAACACCAGGAACAGAGAAGGTGTCTGAAATCTTCATGAACTTTGTGATGTGCCTATGTGGATCTTCATGAGGCATTCCATGATATTGGGTAATCGATTGAAGGAGTTGCATCATCCTTGGCTTCAAATCGAAATTTGCTTCTAATTTTGGTTGAACTAGCCTGGGATCACCCCATCGAGAGATGTAATTGCATACTCCATTACGGGTAGCTCTTCAATTACAGGATCATGGCATTTTCATTCCCATTTTCATTGTTCCCATGGATTGAGCTGTTGTCGTCTGCCATAGTTTAGTAATCAATCACTTCCTTTGTCAATCTGGTGTGGCAGAACGTTCAGAATTACTGTAACAGTGCTGTTTTTTTACGTTCAGAATTAGTAAACTGCAAGAATTAAAAAGAATTCAAAACTTGTCAAAAATTAAAAATGTAACAGATCACAAATTCAAGAAAATAAACCAAAGAACTTCAAAAAGAAACTAAATCATGCACCGCTCCCCGGAAACGGCGCCATTTTGTTGGTTGTAATTTTCAAAAGAAAGAGTTATCATTCTTTTGGAACGGGAAATTCAGTTTCCTTCGATTATTCTTTTTCAATGAAAACTGTATTTTCTGAATTGTAAACTATATTAAGAACAACAAGAACACGTTTATAAGAGTAAAAATGAATATTAAAAATTCCAGAATCCTGACTTCAATGACTTTTCCCTGAATATTGCATGTCTGCGTTTAACTGTTGTAGCACCTAAAATTGATGGAATCTGACTTTTTGTAGAACCCCACTAAACTTTCCCAAATTCAGTTTGTGAAATGATTCACATTAATCCCTTAATCTTGAATCATTTTACTGATGACTTGTAATCTAATTCTTTCCTAGATTATTCCTAATCTTGAAAACTTGAATTAATGAAAAGCATAAACTCAAATTTCCCAATATAAGTTCATGTAAGAATCTTTAAGCCCATTCCCATGGAACTTAAACCAAAAAATATTCACTACTCAAACATCAAGAACATGCACAACAATTCAGATTATTAATGGGTACTCATCATCTCCATCAGAATTCCAGAAAAGATTTAGCAATGCATGTTGAAAAATAAAGCAAAAATGAAATCTGAATTAACAGTAAACATGATTTTTATTCTCAAAGGAAAGAAATAGTAAAAGTAGAAGTAACAGACCGATAAGGTTCTTCACCAATTCAAAATGTAGAATTCTATGAAAAGCTTAAGAACAGAGAAATAAAACAACGAGTTGCACTGAAAGTTGGTCTTCTTGAATCCCTTCAAGAGTGGTGTTCTTCCTTGTGCATTCATCTCCAAGAAAACTAAGAAACTAAGCGCTCAAAATGAAAATCTCATTACAACTAAAAACTGAGTTCTCTTAAAACGAAACTTTCAACTCTAAAATATGCGTTTTTCCCTCTTTATTAAAAGAGACTTATGACTTTTCTTCAACTAGAGCTTCAACATATGCTGTCCCTTAGATCCAACGGGTGCTATTTTTCCATCTCATCTCATCTTCCTTCTTTTCTTGCCAAGTGTCCTTTTCTGTGGTAAAAAGGAGAAAAATATTAGTGAAAAGTTAAAATTCCTTTTTCTACCATTTTTTTTACCACTCGGGCTTACTTCATTAATTTCGGCCCACTTTTACCTGCACTTAGACAAAAAAACTATAGGAAATTTACTACTAAACTAAGTAGAAATTAAGACTAACAGATATGCTCCACATCAGACTAATCGCGAAGCGATTAACCAATTGGAATATTTCTGAAAAAAAAAAGACATTAAAACCATTTTACTTAGTTTTGAAGCAGTTAAATAATAAGAAAGCGTAACTCAATTGATTTTTATTTATCTTGTCCTTCCCTTTGGGACAACAATGGGGCATATGACGTAGAGCCTCTAACTGGAGTGGCAGCTTGTACAAATCAAAAATAAAAGTAATATCTTTCTCAAGGGTTAGATACGGTAAAATATGAAATGGGGATCAGCTTAGATATTAGTTGGGCATGTGCAAGTTGCAACCCACATGCAAACCATTGAGGAAAAACAGAAAAAATGGTGGTAGCTAGCTATCTCTTCTAGTATTGACGTATCTGCATCCTTGAATTATAGCAAGTTCAAAGAAGGAGCAGTTTATATGATTGTGGTTTATGCAATTTTGAGTCTTTTAGATATAGGTAAGTGAACTAAGTTATATCTAGCACATTGAATGTATTTTGGAGCATTGCTATTTGCAAGATACAACATACAAAAGAAGGACCAAAGGTTGGTTGCACATCAATTGCGGAGCACATGTTCCAGCATGTGGTCCACTTGGGGGACCAAACTTATTTGAAACATGGTTCATGTCATGGCTGCAAAATATGCCTTACAACTTTTGGGTTTAGATTGGAGAGCAATGAGGAATTCAATAGCTTAAAAATTATAGTTTCTTTACCATGTGACAGTAGCTTTGCGTTCACATTGTTCATTTATTATGTAGCTTGTTTTGAAGACCTCTTAACATATTAAAATATGAGAAACAAGATCTATCTTGATGTTGGAATTAGATTAATTCTTTTTTAAAACATATTCCACATATGTTGTTGGTGCTTAATCGAAGGGAAAACGCAACAAATTAAGTATGGATTGGAAGGGCCTTTAATTTATAAATCAGTTTCTGTTTCTATTCCTAAACGTATAGCCATTCACTTGCGTGTAGAAGCAATTGCGGACCCAATAATTTTTATAATAGGGGGCAAAAATAAAACTGTAAAATTATAAGTATTATTAAGATTAATATGAGATACTAACTGTTATAAATATTTTTTAAGGAGGAGCTAACTATTAATACTAATAGCCTATTCTTATGAACCTGACAAAGACATATATTCTAGAAGGTCCAATAAAGGACAACACAAACAGGAAATGAATCTTTTATTAATGACGATCTTATCCAGACAGCTAAGCAGTTGGACTTGGGCCCCCAATATTCCTAAGAGCCCAGGAGTACACTCTTGCTAGGTAACCCACGCCTTGACTATGTCGTTTATAATATTGTGCACAGTAATCCGCTGATCTCTAGGGTACCTCTCCTATAGGTACCTGAGAGAGGACAAACAAATCCTATATTAACATACGAATATATAATTGTACATATCGATCTATCAGATCGTAACACCTATTATTATTAAAAAATATTATTTTATAAATAAAAAAATAAAATAAAAAATAAAATTCAGTCCGCCCCTGGTTACAAGGTGTGATTATGGAACAATGTCTTCTTTTTATAGAAAATATCAACTTTAGTACGTGAATCATAAACCAAATAAAACAAGCGTTAGTATCATTGTAAATAATCCATTTCAGTTTTCATACAATAGCTTTACATGACAAATTATTACAAAAAAATAGGCATTTTGCGGCGGTTCATTTTTGGTATACGCGACGGTTATAACCGTCGCTAAATGCATTTTTGCAATTAGGGGCGGTTGTAACCGTCGCGTATACCAAAAATGAACCGCCGCTAAATGCCTGCTTTTTTGTAGAATGTGGGATGGATACCCAACATATCATTAGCACCCAATCTCTTATTTAACCAAGATATAATTAGAACATATAAAATGGGAAAGAATAAGACAATATAATATATATGTGTGTATGTATGAGAAAAACATTTCTCCAACAATTTGAGATAAGTTTATCTCCGGCTATCCCAAAACTACGTCGTTTTATTTATTTATTTCCTTATATTAATTGATTCACCTTTGAATGGTTAAGATTTCGTTTTTCTCTCTCTTCCTTTATCACCATTGATCCATCTTTGTACGGTTAATATTTAGTAGCCGGAGATAAAATTATCTCCGACAGCTTGAGAAATGATATATATATATATATATATATATATATATATATATATATATATATATATATATATATATATATATATAACGGGTATATCATTTATCCTGCCACAAATAAAGTTATTTTTACGTTGTTTTGAGAGTTAAGAGAATTAATGAAGAGTATTTTGATAAAATTCATATAACAAAGAAACAAAAAATTCCTAAAATATTCCTCATTAATGTTCTCAATCCCAAAACACTATAGTTTTGGGATTGCTAGAAATAATTTTATTTCCGAAGAAACATTTTTTACATATATAAAACAATAGAAGGTATATACAAAAATAATAGTAGGTAGAATGTAACAATACTTGGAGTTCTATGGCTTAATATGTTTCTACATGGAGTTTTTGCGTCCACTCATTCTTGCTAGTACATTTGTCTAATTATGTTAATATTGTTATCGTTATTTTCTTTGATTAAATTTTCTTTTAATTAAAAGGGAAGTTAATTAAGTCTTGATGATTTGTTGACCTTTCATCTTTCGTTTAGGGTCATTTTAACTTTGACAACTTAATAATTTAATCTTAATTAAATTTATCATAAATTTCTACTAATTAAAAATACAAATATTAAAAACTTAATTTAAGAGGTGACTTAGCACTAACCATTGTTGACCTCGAGTCTTTAGAATATGATCATTTTAGTTGTGACAAACTCATGATGGAAAATTCATTTAAATACATTTTGTAGTAATTAAAAATAACAATATTAACATTTAAATACATTTTTAGTGTATATTTGTGAAGTACTCTTATTTTTATCTTCTCTTTTCCTTATAAGTAGAAGCTTAATTAGCCAAATATGTTTTTAGATGTAATCTTAGGGTTTATCATTTCTCTTATCAAAGGAGATAAAATTATCTTCAACAACCTCAAAACTACGTTCTTTTAAGGATTGAGAGAATTAATGAAGAGTGTTTTGGTAAAATTCATAAAACAAATTTTTTTTTCTAAAATATCCTTCAATAATTCTCTCAATCCCCAAAGCGATGTAGTTTTTGAGTTGTTGGGAATAACTTGATCTCCTGTGTCACAGGATAAACATTTTTCCCAATATTTTATTATAAAAAGATCTTTTTACTATAATGAATAAGACAAACAAAAGCTAAAAACTTTCAAGAGAAGTTTTTTTCAAGATATATACTAGCTTTTTAGATTTCTAAAATTTATTTTCAATTTCACCCTT